CTGGTTTTGAGACTTATTTACGTGTTTTCTCATTTCAACTGGGGCAGGGGGCTGTTAACGCCTGCACGGATTACCTCCTCTGAGCTGGGTGAGGTGGGACAGGGGCCGGGAGCAGCTGTAGGGATGGTGACCCAAAAGCCCTTTACCGGCCATGTAACTTTCACAGCAAATATCTCATATTTTTCCATTTTAAATGACGTTATAGAAAAATCATCTTCCTTAAAAAAAAAAAAGCATGGAATAGGATGTAGATTTTATCTGAAAAACTTGGGAACTGTCCGACAATTCATTTCAGCTCTTGTTCCTTTATCTCTCTCTAGTTACCCATCTCTGGAAACTTGATTGACCTTTACAGCAACCAAGGCCTGCCACCCTCAGGCCTCACCATCAGCAACTCGTGCCCAGCCAACCTGCCCAACATAAAAAGGGAGCTCACAGGTAAATCCCTAGCAGATGTGCCCCTGGCTGATTTTTAGTAGAAAACCCTTCCTCATTAGGCAACATCACTGATACAGTAATGTCTCCTTTGTCCAACTCATGGGCATAATTTTATCAGGTATGTGCAGTCATTAAAACACTGTACAGGGGCCGGGGATTTTAACTCAGTGGTATCGTCGCCTTCTGCGCAAGCACAAGGACCCGAATTCAATCCCTGGTACCAAGAAACAAAAAACAAAAAAAACCCCAAAAAACCCACTGTACAGTATTTTTAAGATGGAAGATTTATACTTAAAAATCCTGGTTTCCATTATTTCCTGAAATGCTGGGAGTCAGGGCCCATTACTACATGGCCCTAGTCACTCTATCTGTAACTACTATCCTCTTTGAGTTGGGGGTGTCAGGTGACACTTTCACCTATAAACATCTCCACCAACCTGATGTTTACATGAGTTGCCAAGCAGAGGCTCATTGAGTATTTGAGAACACTAGGTTGAATATTCCTTTGACCCACACTTAAGCCTACAATAGGAATAGGTTACATATATTTCTTACAGTGTCACATGCCTCTTGTTTTTATGTCCCAGAAGAAAAAAAGTTATAAAACAGAGAAGATAGAATTGTTTGGTGCCCTCCTCACCCTCTCACGGTTCTAGGGATTAAACCCAGGGCCTTTGCACTGAGCTGTATCCCCAGCATTTTTTTTTTTTTTGAGACAGTGTCTCTCTAGGTTGTTAGCTGCCCAGGCTGGGCTTGAATTTGCAATCACCTTGCCTCTGTCTCCAGAGTGCTGGTATTACAGGTGGGCACCACTATGACCAACTTAGAATTATTTGTTCTTGAGGACAGTGTGACTTTACCTATTTCTCCAGTTTGCTTAATGCTTCAGGGGAGGCATTTGGCCATTAAAACATGACAGAAATTGTACTGGGACTAGACTTCTACCTTGGTTAATTTTATGGCCCTTATCCCCCCTTTATTATTTGGCCTTGCATCCTCTAGGATTGGGGGAAATTGACTGAGAATATGGGATATGGACTTGGTGTAAATGATTTATTTCCTATTCAAGGCTGTCTTGCCAAAAATCAATTTCAAAATATGGTGGCAGAAGAAAGGCGCTTTTTAAAAAAAATCTCTAATTTAAATTAATTAATCAAGAATAAAAACTATCCAGAGCCAAAAATCAAGTAAGAATCCTGTCACAAAGGAAAAGTATAAGACAACAACAACAAAAATGCTAAGAATCACTGAAGCAGCAAGTGTGGAAGTAAATTTTCTGTCATACTATGTGAGGAAAAAAGAAAACAGAACAGAAGTCATTTGGATCACCTTTCATAATTTAAAGAATTCAGCTTCTGAGTTATACATACACACATACATGTATGCAGTGCAGTCATGAATCATGTAAGGAAGGGGGTGTGTTCTGAGAAAGATGTTATCAAGTGATCTCATCACTATATGAGCATCACAGATGTACTTACACTTAAGATGGCTACAGTGTCGCTACGTGATACACTCTCATGGGACCACCATCCTACATGCAGCCTGCTGTTGACTGAAATGTCATAATGTGCTGCTACATTATTGACTGTGTACACACACATATATAATAATGCTAATATACTAAATGCATCTATATGCCTCAGTAACTATAAATCATTCTAAAGTATTTGTATTTTGAGGTAAAGTTATAAATTATGGTAGTGAAATATTTCACATATTACTTCTAAAAAAGTAATGCCAGCATGCCTGTAATGCCAACACCCTAGGAGGCTGAGGCAGGAGGATTACAAGTGTGACCCCAGCCTGGGAAACTTAGTGACTGGGGATGTAGCTCAGGGCAGAGGCCCTAGGTTCAATCCCCAGAGCTATAAGAAGGGGAGGGGGGAGAGGGAGGGGGGAGGGAGGGAAGAAGAAGAAGGAGGGGGAGGAGGAGGAGGAGGAAGGAGGAAGAGAAGCAGCAAGGGAAGGAAAGGAAGGGAGGGAGGGCTTTCTGAATACTAGTAGTGATAAAGCAAGATACTTTGTTTTGTTTAACTGTTCTCTGTAAGGTAAAAAGTAATCTCTTAGAACAGAGATCTCACAAGAGCTACTGTGAAAATAGAACTTTTCAAGTGGAATTGCCTGTGTACCCTCTCCCTATTTATATTTTCATAGACTCAACAAACTAGTAAATAGTTGCTGCCAAGAGTCTTTAAATCATTTTGTTCTAGCAGATTCAGAATCTGCTTTCAAGTTCTGAAAAAACAAATTCATTTCCATGAACCAGTGAGAGATCATGGAGATCTGAGTGGAAGCTTTTCTACTCAGTTTTGGATGTCAGTGAAACCTGAAAAAATATTTGGCTTGAAAAAGAAAATTTGACTCTTGATAATGAAATATCAACTACAAATTGTCATAGTTTTATAGTTATTTATTTTATTCTTGTTAGCACTGGAATGAGTTTACAGTGCACGGTGGATTGTTGTTACACTGGTCTTTTACCAGTTTGTGGAAACTGAGTTATTGTCTATCTGATATGCGTTGCTTCTAAAAAAGTGCAAGTTTTTTAAATGATTTTTTTTTAAAAGATAGCTTCACTTAGATTCCAGTCAGATAAGCTTCCAAATGTTTAGAAAATGAGATGCTTTATAGTTTACATTGCTCTATCAGTTTAACAGTTCTAATTTCTAATTACTTCATTCACGTGCACAGCGTGTATTTTCCCCACAGAATCGGAAGCGAGAGCACTGGCTAAAGAGAGACAAAAAAAGGACAATCACAACTTGAGTAAGTTGGTTTTATTTGTGTTAATGACATGTGATATTGAAGTTAACGTCCCTTTGTATACGAAAAAGCATTCCAGAAATATTGGAGGAAAATTGATTTCTGTAATTGGTAAAGATACATATTTTGTGTAAGAAAATTGTATTTCAGAGAAACTAAGATACATGTTTTAGTTCAGATCAAACTGAATTTTGTATATAAAGTGTTTGCAATTTCTAAAGTTTTTTCTCTTCTTTTTTTGTTTTATTTATAGTAGTGGATTTTTTTTTTTTTTTTGAGAGGGATACTTGATCCCCAACTACCCAATTATGAGTGTTGCTCACACTGGAACTTATTAGCAAAAGGGGATCATGGGATCACCTTTTCCAGGGAGATTTGAAAGGAAGAAAAGAAAAAAGAAAGAAACAACTCTGAAGGGGAGCCCAAATTTCTGATATTACCTATCATTTAAAAAGTTCTATTACATTTTAAATATCTACACATGTTTAATTTATTCTTAATTAAATCTTTAATCTTTTTTCCTATGAAAATTTATATTTAATGTATAGGTAGGAGAGGCTGCACAGTAAACATAAGGATGAAGCTTGGAGGAAAGATACAGTTTATGAATTTCTCATCTCATAATCTCATGTTCTCTTTTTTCCTAAATTTATTATTGAGAATGTAGGCGAGTCCTATATAAACACTTGCTCCTTATTAAAAAAAAAGAATAGGACAGGGGTATTCTTTAATCCCCAGGATATGCACTGTTTGTTTCAATTCAGTGTTGTTCTTCTTGACCTTTTCCATGTATTTAAGAATAGACCCACATACCCATGCACATGTGAAAATAAAAATCACTGTTTTGTGTGTTAACACAAAAACATATCATGTTGTTCATATTCTGTTGTTGCTTTCTTTTTTTAACTGAATAGTTGGTTCTAAAGACCTCTTACTGTTAGAATCCTAGAACTACTTTTTTAAAGGTATTTCATAGTATGCTATATTGTGACTATTTTTAATTTTTCAGTTATAAATACTGTCACAGAAAACATCTCATACTTGTCTTTTTGTGCCAGAAGGGTTGTTTCTCTAGGTTAGCTCTTGAGGAGTAGACTTGGAAAGTACAGAGGGCATTAGTTTCTGCTCTTACTAGGATTACAATCCTGTTTCCATTTCTGGTGTGAGAGGCTTTCCACATCTCTGCACCAAAAGATATGGACTAATTTTCAAGGTCTCCCCAGTTTCCAAATAATTTTATTCTTACTTCTTCTTTTAAAACACCTCAGAAATAAGAAAATCAGGCATTTCCAAAACTTCACTTAGCTGAGATGTGAAAAACAAAGTTGTATCTTGTTAAAAACAATATTTACTGTAGAAACCCAAGCTCTCAAGTTCAGGGTTGTTAATATAGGACAAAAATGATTGGCACAAGCTCTGAGGGTTATAAAACAATATTTAAGTCTCACCTAACTATTGGAAATAATATTCAGGGTTGGATTGCCCTTTGGCCTTGCTCTGTCTTCCTCCTCTAAGAATTTGTCCTGTAACAGTACTTGCTGAAATGTGAAAAAGTAGGCATTTATTCTGACATCAGTTTATTGAGCCCCCTGTTTTGTACAAGAAATTTTTCTACAGAAGTGAACCACACAAACAGGTTTCCCACTCTTTGAATCTTGTTTATCTTCGAGCCAGGAGTCATCTATATATTACCGAGTGAGAGGCAGAATAATAGATACAACACCCCATCATGTACAAGGAACACCCTATAGGGAATATACTTGTGCCTGCGTTTATGTGGTTGTGTAGGCCTATAGGTGAAGGTGTAGAAATCATATTTATTAGTGACAATTTTTCCAGGCACATAGATGTTAGTGTAAAAGAGTTGACTTTTACTTTTTCCTTTATACATATTGATATTTTAAAAAATGATTTATAAGCTTATGCCACTTTCATAATAAATAATTGGAGAAGTCCATGTGGTAAAAATAAAATGTGATACAAGTAAATATCAATGGTGAAAGATGTCAGTAATGTCCTATTGAGAAAATATAGATGCAGAATCATCTGTAGTAGAATTCCACTTTAAATGTAGTATTCTTTAACACTTATTTGTGCCAACCATATACAGTTGCCTAGAATGCAACAGAAAATAAGCACAATAAGTAAAATACATGAAATATGTGAATATTAAGTTGTTGAAAGTTCTATGAGGAGACAAAGGACAGCCCAGGGGACATAGTAACAGGATGGGCTTGGGAGGGAGTGAGTCAGTTTTAAATAGGATGTCCTGGGAACTCTCATAGGTAAATTTGAGTCATTACCTGAGGAAGGGGAGGGCAGAGCCATTCAGATATCTAAAGGAAGGGGGCAGGGGGCAGCCATATGAAGTCTAAGATGAATCGCACTAAGAAATAGAGTCACTTTGGGAGAGGAGAGAGAGTGATATCAGAGGGCTGGGAGCCCATGAGATGCTTGAGGACTTGGCTTTGTCTAGATGAAATGAGAACTGATTGGAGCATCTTGAGTAATAGATTGACGTGCTCTGACTTTCATTTTAGCAGGATCCCTCTAGCTGCTGTATTCTTGATAGACCAAAGAGACAGGGAGCACTGGGCATAGATGAAGCAGAAATTTGAGCTAGGAGGATTACAGTAATTCAGGCAAGGGATGATGATAGCATTTCTTAGGAATGGAGGCTGGAAGTAAGCCAATTCTAGAAATATTTTGAAGGTAGAGCCAACAGATTTGATGATGGGTCAGATGTGTAGTGTAAAAGGAAGGGAGGTACTTATCTGATTCCAAGATTCTGGCCTAAGCAATTGGAAGGATGTAGAACCATTAAATGAGGTGAGTTACCAGGTAGACTCATTTGAACAGAAAAGATCAGGAGTATTTAGCCTGCCCTGTAGACATCCATCTGTATAGAGAAGTCTCATGGTCAGACGTGTGAGTCTGGAGTTCCACAGAGATATCTGGGCTGGAGACAGACGTATGGGAGGCATTATTGTCTACAAAATAGTCCAAACCATGAGATGACCAGGAAATGAATGTCAATCAGGAAGCATTCCAAGGGCAGCATCTCGGAAGTGCACCTGTGACTGCTATAAAAATAATCACAAGGGATGTATAAGAAGATTAACACTGGATCACAGGAAAGTTTTATTTTACTGTGTGTATTTCACTATATGAGTTTTATGAGTCTTATGTTTAACAAAGGGAAAAAAATCAAGATTCAGAGTTTTGGAGGTTATCTGGTAGATCAGGAATCTAAAACTTCCTTTTTTAGCACTATGGACTGTCACTTAATCTTTCTGTTTTATAAAAATGTAATGATAGGGCCAGGGATTTAGCTCAGTGATTTCGCCACCTGCTGTGCAAGCACAAGGACCCAAGTTCAATAAAAAAAAAAAAGTACCAAAAAAAAAAAAAAGTAATGATACATCTTAGCATTAAGATTATAACTTAGCATTAGTCATTGGAATAACTACTCAGCCTAGATAAGCTGCAATTTATTTTGGGAAAACAGTGAATGATATTATTTATCTACAGATACAGGATATTAGTGGATCAAGTATAAATATAAATATTTATTTATTTTAGATTATTTAAAATAAACCTAATTTATTAGACCTTAACTTTGCAATTTCATTGCTAAACTAGGTAAATTAGAAACATTTATCTCATGTGCCTCACTATGTCATCCTCCTCTAAGAAAGTGATGATTTAGTTGAATGTACAACTAGATTTATTTGCTAGAAGTGCTGGTGAGATGCCTGGTATAACCAAATGGGCTAGATTTAAGTTCTAGGGCCATGCTGTCCACTATGGTGGCCACTTGCCACTTGTTCCTATTGAGCACCTGAAATGGAGTTAGTCCAGATTGTGATGTGTTGTGAGAATTGCTCCTGCCTTTCACAATTTAGTGTGAAGAAAAGAATGTTAAACTATCTAGTTTGTAATTTTGGATATTGATTACCTGCTAAAATGATAATGGTTTAGATATAATGAGTTTGATAAAATATGAAAGTTAATTTCACCTTTCTTTTTACCATTTTAATATGGCTACAAGAGAATTTAAAATCACATAGATAACTTATATTTCTTTTCAGCAGTGCTAGGCTAGAGCAGGGATTTTTGTATGCCTGTGAGCTAAAATTTTTTATTTTTTAATTTTAAGCAGTTAAAAGGAAACCAAAAGAAGAGTAGTAGTTTGTGACATGAAAGTTATATAAAATTCAAATTTCAGCATCCTAAGTCATTCTGATACTTTGCATTAATTTTGATTTGCATTGTGAAACAAACTCAATTGATAATATATTTTGAATTTTGTAAAAAATGTTGGAAGCTTGTTTTCTATCTAATTACATAAGTACCTACATAATAATGCCCTCCATGTTGGTACTTGGTCTACAAACCAAAAAGAGTTCACTGCCTGCTCTTTGCAGAATGTTTGCGGCGCCCTTCTGCATCGGTTTAAGTTTGAGTCCCAGTTCACCACTTCACTGGTAATCCTCAGAAAGTCCTTGATATCGCCAAGGCGATTTTGTCATTTGTAACTGAGAACAGGAAATCTGATTTCAGACTCATTACAGGATCAGATGAGAAATTGTATATCTAAGGGCTTTATAAATGGCAAAGTTCTCTACAAAAGTAACTCATTTTAAAAAGTGCTTTAACTACAATACCAAATACACAGTAAGAACTGGGGAGAAAATAGATTCAGATTTACATTGTCTTAACCTGGTAAAATTCATGTGCACATGCCTTTAATGAGATATGCTAAATGCACATGTGGTGCTGTTACTAATAGCCCTTTCCTGTGCTCTTTTCTTGAAGTTGAAAGAAGAAGAAGATTTAACATAAATGACCGCATTAAAGAACTAGGTACTTTGATTCCCAAGTCAAATGATCCGTGAGTACAGTTGCATATTAATCTGCATCATATATTTTTTGCACCTTCATGTTTTCTCATACGTTGCAAAAAATAGAGTTATAAAAACTCGAGTGAAGAAGTCCTTCCTCCCTCTTTGGTTCTTTTTTCTAAACACTTCTTAAACCTTTCTTTTAGTTAATTTCATCCAACCAGAATTTCAAGAGAAATGCACTGAATTGTCCAAAAGGGTTACTGGACATTAGACAGTTAGCTTTGAGTGTGAGGAAGTGGACTTTCTGAAATCTGAGATTCCTTGGCAAACAAATTCCAACCTATTAAAAAAATTCTTTAGCAGTCACACAGTACAAGGTTTAGATTTGTAGACTATGTGCTCTTCGCTTTGTAACGTTATCTCTAGGCACTGATAAACACATTGGAAACTTCAAGTTCAATGATACTCAACAGACAAAAGGTCAATTTTTTTAATGAAAACTTGCATATTCTTTTTATGTTTTCCCAATCTAAGAAATGAGGGTAATTGTTAATCCTCTCATTAAGTACAAGTCAGATAATTTGGGTTTCAGCCTTTCCCTCTACCTCTCCTCTTAGAGATAACATCTATAAAGATAATTTTTTCAAGTCTTTCCTACTGCTTCATAGTTACCCGTGATGACAGCAAATAGGACAACAAATACACAATTTTTATCCATTAGAAATTGGCCCATTTGAAGTGAGGGTGAGGAAATGTATACATTTTAATGGCCCCCACAGGCATTCTATGAAATTAGCCTTTGAATATGACCTTTCAGCTATCTAATAAAATGTAAAGATGCAATCAAGCATTATTCATGCAAGGCTTATTAAATTTGCTATTCACATTATTGTCAGGGAATTTGTAGCAAAATAAAATAAAACTATTACCTCTTATGAGGTGGTTTTGATGAATGTGCAAGCATAATTTCCATCTTCAACACTTGGCTTTCCTAGGTTTCAAAGAAAGGCATTTGCAAACTGGAAACATTCAAATTCTCAGTTTTGCAGCACAAATTTATCCTACTAAAGGGCTGTGACCTTCATTTCCTATAGTCAATCTTGCATGATAGTTGAAATTGAATTCCCGTTTTCCTGTTCTTTATCAGCTTTCACTTTTTAGCATATTCTTTTAAACTGTAGCATGTGAATCTCTTTAGTAACATATTATGGAATTATGGGGCTGCAGTGAAAGGGTGGATTTGCATATCTTCTTTCTCCATTATATTAGAATACTTAGGTGTTTATAATCTGAAATGATAGCGATCTTTCATTGTAGGCATGTTTTAAGATAAAACAGACTATAATCTATATGGTGGTTTTCCCTCACTAAGTTTTCAGAATTTGCTGTAAGGGTCTCGGCCCCATAGCCTCTCTTCCATCACAGCAGTCTGCTTTTGTTGATTTTCTTTTTATACCTCAAGATAACTGGTTGAAATAATTACTTCTTAAAATCTAAGTGGCTACTTTGCTTGAAAGTTTCAATTCTGGTTTCTCACCTTACTGGCCTAGGTAAGGCATCAGTCATTATAATTACTTTTTTTCTCTAATTGCTAAAGTTTCTGTTCCTTTGGTTTTAGCCTGAACATGAGGTCTCTGTGCTCTCTCTAAGTATCTCAGGACACTTCTCTGGGTTGCCATCTTTGGTGCTGAGACCCCAGGGATCAACTCCAGGAAATTCTCTGGGGGATATAGCTGTCCCTGTCCTGGGAGAACTTCTGTTTTGTTCTTCATCTGTTCTAACTCATAGGAGGACCAATTACTAGGTGGCTTGTTGTAATGGTCCACCATTCACACATCATCTGATATTTCTGATCTGCTCTTAGCAGTTAGAGATGATGAAGTAGGTGGTTCTCCGTGCATCAGAGTTTTTGGTTTTGTTTTCATCTTCCATTGTTATTGTCATTATTATAATGAAAATTATAAAACAGTTCCAATTAATTTCAAACAATATAGAAATATTTTTACATAAACATACATTTTTCTTTATTGTTTTCTCTGGGGTGCTCTAAAATCTTCAAAGTGCTTTCACCTACATGTTAATGGTGGTCTTAATTTTCTTATATGCAATATATTGGAGGTATACTGCTTAAGAACCAAGAGTCACCACGTTCTGGCCACCTAGGCTGGAGTTCCAAAACAGTCTCTTGCTTGACTTTGGAGAAGTTACTTATGTTCCTAGGCTTCATTTTCCTCATCTGTTGAAAAAGGGAACATGAGAATATTACCAGGTAGTCTAGTTGTTTTGAGGATTCATATAAGAAGAAGAATGGTGTAGGGGCTTAGAAGAGGAAAGCCTGGAGCCAGGTTCTCTAGGTTTCCTGGGTCAGCCACCTCCTAGTTCTGTAACCTAGGGAAAACTTCTTAACCTCTGTGTGCATTAGTTTTCATTCAGTAAAATAGGATCATATTAGTATTAGTACCTCATATTAGAGGTCAAGAGTGAATGAGTTATAAAACACTTCAAAAAGTACCTGGCACATAGTAAGTACTATACAAATTCCCCTACTTTACATATTAAGCATTTCACATAGCACCTGCTCTATGGTTTGCACTGTGTTCTGGACTTTACAAAGTATATTCATATAAAGCACCTCCTTTGATTCCAGTTACATACATATGCAGCTCCTTACATAAGTGTAGCATTGTTTTGTAGATGAGGCAACAGATACAGAGAGAGGTTAGAGAACCTATTCATGACGAGTCATGATAAAAATTTAAAGATGCCACAAAGAAGCAGTGGGATCTCACAGGATTTCTTTTTACCATTGCTTATTCTGTCCAAGTGAGAAAACTTTTGTAGTCCTAGAAACCTGTAACTACTTACATAGTATTTAAGAATGTTGATCTTGAGCCAGGAATGGTAATGTATGACTGTAATCCCAGCAATCAGTAGGCTGAGGCAGGAGGATTGCTGAGAGTTTGAGGCCAGCCTGGGCTACATAGTGAGTTCAGGGCTGGCCTGAACTACAAAGGGAGACCCTGCCTGAAAAAAAAAAAGAATATTGATGTTGTAATCAAAAAGACTATATTTAAGTCTTGACTTCACTTTATGGTAGCACTGTGACCTAGGACAAGATGAATTGTCTCTGTTTGAACATTTGCACCATGCCCCTACCTCAACAAGGTTCTTGTCTGGATTAAGTAAGACAGCGCATACAGAATGGGTAGACAATGTCCAGCCCGAGGCACATGCATAATGTATAGCTATTATTGCTGAGCAGTTATTATTATATCTGATGAAATTAAATGCTTTGAATACTGAATTTTCATTGAGCCTCAAATCTTACAAAGGTCTGTTTTATTCCATTTTCATCACAGTGACATGCGCTGGAACAAGGGAACCATTTTAAAGGCATCTGTGGACTATATTCGAAAGTTACAACGGGAGCAGCAACGTGCCAAAGAACTTGAAAACCGACAGAAGAAACTGGAGCATGCCAACCGGCACTTGCTGCTCAGAATACAGGTACCCACTGTGTAACAAATACTGCATGCATATTGCTGACTTTAAGATGGGACAAGGAAGAATATAATGAGCCATCGGGGAGATGACTTACATGATCCTAATATAGGACATCCATGCTCTTCATAGATTCTGTATTTGTGAATTTGCCTACTTAGAAAAATTTATGGGTAGCCCCTAAATTGATATTGATGGCCCTTTTCCCAGTCATACTTGGATGTATCCAGAGTGGTAAATCTGAGTTGCTCATGGTGCTGTCTCCTAGTAGAAGTCAAACAATCTGGGCCCTCTATGGCACTCAGCTTTTTGTGCTATGTGTGAAAACAAAACCTGTTCTGAAACTGTCTTAAGAGTCATCTCTGTGTCACTGACCAAAGTGGCTTGCATGCGGGAGGGGTGGTGGTGCTGGTGTTGTTGTTTGTGTCTGGAACTGAATCCAGGGCCTTTGCACTGAGCTATATCCCCATCCTTTAAAAAAATGTTTTTATTTAGAGGTAGGGTCTCAGCAAATTGCCCAGGCTCAAACTTGTGATCATCCAGCCTCAGTCTCCCCAGCTTGGAGGGGTGTTTTCACTTACTTGCTGACCTTGAACACAAACTGCTTGTAAGAGTCAGTGACACTGGATCTTCTTCATGAGTAGATGGACCCACTTTTACTAGATTTTGATGTATAGTAAGATTTACTTTTCAGGTTCCCAAGGCAGCTATTTATAGAGTTATTTTTTGGATGTTATGCAAGGTATGGTACCTTAGAGCCCATCGTGTTTAACCCAGTGGTGCTCATTCCTGACACTGAACTTATCGAGGACTTCATCTGTAATAATGTTCTCCATCCTTTTGAATGCTCCCCAGAACATCACATTTTAAGATGTCACACCTCCTGCTCACTCCAGTGATCCTCAGCCTCGGAGGGGAGGCTGAAGGCAGCTCTTCTCTAGGGTTGGCTGTAGAATCTGGGTAGTAAAGTCGAAGCTGCAGGTAATTTGGAAATCTTCCCTTCCCTCCTCACTGCCATTTTCTTTGGCTTTTGTTGTTCGTTTTTGTGTTTTGTTTTTGTTTCATCTCTCTAGCAAGTAGCTGTAGGTATTTAATCTCTAATACTGTACTTAGTCTTTCTTTCTTTCTCTCTCTGTCTGTCTCTTTTTTTAGGGGGAGGGAGGTGAGACAGAATCTCACCATGTAGTTCATGCTGGCCTTGAACTCACTGTAGCCCAGGCTGGAATTACAGGAATGTGCCACCGAGCCTGCCCAGTAGTACACCTATTTATAAAAGCAGGTCATATATTAAGAATGTATGTGTTATTTCTTTATGAAAATATTAAAATGCAATAATTTTTTTTTTTAGTACCAGGGATCGAACTTGGGTCCTTGCACTTGTGCAGCAGGCAGTGAAACCACTGAGCTAAATCCCCAGCTGTAGTAACTTTTTTTTCTTTTGGTACTGGGGATTGAACTTGGGTCCTTGTGCTTGTGCAGCAGGCAGCAAAACCACTGAGCTAAATCTCCGGCCCCTCCAGAAACTATTTTTAAAGAGAAGCTAGGTTTTGTTTTATTTCAAGCTTCCAAGAATATGTATATTCATGAAATATGAATATTGTGAAATATATGCATTGGAAATTCCATTGACAGTATCTTGGTTTTCTTCCAGTGACTGTGAGGCTGTCATTAGAACTTTAGCATAGTGTAGAAAATATTATTAATTAGAAAAGATCTGGGATGTAATGAAACCAGAGTGCTCCAGATGAGATCTACAACCTTATTTGGAAATCTAAGTAATTGCTTTAGTCAATTGACAAACATTTTTAATTAAATAACAAAGGATTAGACTGAGATGTTTGCCTCTCTTAATCCAACTTTACTTACTTATTGTTTATTTATTTATTTATTTATTAAAAAAACAAACAGCATGTGTGGAGATGCTGTTCTTATTAGCATGTTGGTGTGGATTTACAAGAGCCCATGTTTGTAGCTCAGGCCTAAGGGCTTCCTTTCATTTTCAGTCTAAGTGATGCATGCAGAAATTTTCACAGAAGGAAGAGCATGAAGCCTTACTATCAGTGGAACTGCCATTTTATTAAACAGCCCAGGGCTTTAAAATGTGGCCTGGAAAGACTTGTGTTTCTGGGGATTGTGTAAAGGAACATGCAGACACTCGTGTGACATCTTGAGCTCCCATCTCTTACTTGTCTCCCTTTCAGAAAAGCATCTTACAGATCCAACAGTGTGAACATAGACTGAACATAGCTTTTTCAGGCACAGCATGTTTCTGGAATAAGGGGCAAAGGTTGAGTGTACTTTCCCTCTCTGATGAGACCAGATGGATTGCTTGAAGTTTATATTCTGTTTTTATATATTATTGTACCAGAAAGATAGGACAACACAGGTATGTGGAAACAGAATGCTTTTTTGGAATCAGCTGGATTCATTTTAGTAGTTTCCCGGCATAGTCAGAAAGGACAAAGGGAAAGCCATCCAAGGCTTTTTGGGTTTTGTTGCTGTTTTCTAGCAATGGAGACTGAACTGAGGACTTTCCTGCTGAGCTGTATTCCCTGACCTATTTTAAGACAGGATCTCACTGAGTCACTAAGTTGCTTAAGCTGGGCTCAAACTTGTGATCTTCCTGTGTCACCCTCTCTGAGTGCTAGGATTACAGGCATGTACCACATCTGGTTTTGATGGCATTTTGAAACAAGGTCCTAGGGAAGTTGCTGACCCTTAGGAAATGTATTAGTCAGCTAGTGTTGCTGCAACAAGCAACCACCAGTGGTGGTTTAAAAGATGGAAAGTTATTTTTATTAAAATTCTGGAGCCTAAAAGTCCAAGATGCAGGTGACAGCAAGGTTGATTCCTCCTGAGGCCTCTCCTTGGCTTACAGATGGCTGTTTCTTCACGTGGTCTCTGCCTCTGTGTGTCAGTGTCCCAGGCCCCTCTTCTGATAACTAGTCCTCTTAGGGTGATCTTTAAAGACCCTGTCTGCCAGTACAGTCACATTTCAAGGTACTGGGAGTTAGGATTTCAACACATACACGTTGGGGACCATTATAGATTATAATAAAAGGTATGTGAAGAAAGTATAGAATGAAATCGGTCATTTTATAGATGAGAACTTAATTGTTGAATTAAAAAATACTTTCCCTTTGCCACACTGAGATAGGTTAAATGTTGCTTCCAAAACTTTGATAACTTGTGTAGAACCTACACAGCTTTTGCTGTCACCACCTATGCTTTTTACTGCAGGGTGCCCTTAGTGTCTTAGTAACTTTTTCACTGTGCCCTAGACCAAAAGAAATGCCTACTATTTCTTTTAGGTCCCAACAGCTTACTGAGTATTTAGGTTTTAACAGCTTAGTTGCCATTTGAAAAGATAAAACATAAAAAAAGAAAAATAGCATTTTTATGTAGTTTTTAACTCACCACAGGACTTACTGAGATGCGTGTGTGTGCTGGACACTGCACAACTTCTGGAAACCTTGGGATCAGATCAGATCAGATAGAACCTCCTTTCCTTTATTCCATGTTGGTGTCCACATGGTCCTTGTCATAGAAAGTCCCCAAAGCTCTGCTTGATGTGACCAAAAAAACATGTACCATATTCTAACACTGAAACTGAGAATGGTCTGGGCTTTGGTAGCTCTTGAAGTGGTATCACCATTTCTCTTGAATCCTAAAACATCTGCAGGACCCCTGAGTTCACTACAGCACCCTTGGGTACTCAGTGGACAGTTTAGGGACCATGAAATTATGTTACTACTTACCTAATAGTTTCCCTTTATCAGCTCCCATTTTAATTTGTTAAATATATCCTTGTTTTATCCTTGTTTTGAATATTAATATCCATGAAAGTCTATCTCTTGACATTTAATATATAATAAAATTCATATACCACACAAAGTCATTTCATATACTACCAGTGGTACCTGTGGTTTAGGAAATATGGAGTTTATTAATTTTAAAGAGTAACAACTTTAACTTTGAGAATTTGTTTTCCTTTTAAGCATCTGATTCAATAGACTGGGGTGGGGGGAGTAGAATATGATTTAAGATTCCCAGTAAAAATGAATGGAAGCTGCAGAAAGTGCCCATACATACAGAATAATGTACAGTGGTACATTATTCAACTTGATGAGCTTACCTTGTCATTTCATTCTCTCTCCGTCTCTCCCTCCCTCCCTCCCTCCCTGTCTCCCTCCCTCTCTCCCTCTCTCCCTCTCTCCCTC